AGATACAGCTGAAATTATGTAAATATGACAATGGCCTTAAAAAGTATGTGGCTTGTTACATATGTGTAGTTCAGCGGGGACCAGTTTCACCAGGGACCTGTACATTAACGCTTGGTGCATTGAGTATGGTAGGAGATATAGCATATGATAGAGGGGGAGGCTGACAGGTACTCTACCACAGCTGTGGTTGATTCAACATACAGAAATAGCATAGCCATGATTTCCTTTGGCACAACAACTTGAGGTGTACCTATAGGTGATCTGTGGTGGGTCAGGCCTCCTTGTGTCTCCTTTGTGACGTCAGCTGATTGAAGACTGATGGAAATCAAACATATCTTCAGAGGCCTCTCTCATTGTTTCATTATGTTCCTTGGTTTTTCTAATAACATATTTGCACTTGTAAATGTAGAGACTGTACCCATCTTCTGCAGTTCAGACCTTCAAGCATGGTCATATCACAAACAATCTTTGATTGACAGGCAAAGACCAGCCTATGATTTTAATCAAGAAAATTATCCTTGGTTCACCAAAATTCAAAATTTGGATTTGAAAATCTGTTTTTTTAAGCTTCCTCATTGCCACCATCAGAATAAAAAGCCATAATGATAAATTTTGATATCTTTTATTTATCAAGGGTTACACATTTAGTTAAAGTCTAGTTAACAACATTGCCCTGCATCAGCACAAATATACAAAGTGACTTATATAGTACATAAAAACATACCTATTGTATAGAAAACCAATGCCAAACTAATGTTCTGAGAAGGAAACTGCAGAGATAGCAACACTGCAAGCATTTCTAATATTTTCCATTTATCCCATTCAGTCAAACAGAATGTGTCTACACAACACTTGAGTACTCCCCATTTAAAATTTTGCTGTCCTGGAAAGATTCAAATACCAGTAATTTAATTTACATCATTCAAAGAAAATGAAGCAGTAATTCATTCTAAGCACCATATTGATCACTTAAGATATACTTGCAAGTAGTCTTACAAAACATCTTGTTGTTCATTACATTATGACTTCTCTGATTTTAGGGGCGGACACTTATTGACAACCCTAAAATCGTTGGTCTAATGACATCATTACTTTAGTCATTGTCCATACCAGGGCTAATACATGGTAAATAGAGAGCTACATAGGAAGAGGTTACTTTCAGCTATACTGTATTCTATGTACCTGCCTACACATAAAAGTTAGAGATAAGATGCAATATATAGGACAGTTGCCATGGTTTGCAAGCACATGAGTATGTATACAATGTAAAAACCTTCACGAAATGTGCATATACACACCAAGGCAAGGCAGTCCTAGTAAAAAAGCATCCAAATAGCAAGAGGTGCTATAGTTGTGTACCTTGATGCAGATAACCTGAGAAGATGTGTAATGTTTGCTCAATAACTTGGTATGGTCTTGTCTACACCATCAACAGCAGTTGCCTATCATCCTATACTGTATCAGACTACATAAAAAAAACACTTCCACTAAAAAACCTTCTCTTCCAGAATTGGTGCTTCTTATTTTTTGTTTCAATCTGTTGCATTATTTTAAGATCTGAAGAGTTACATTTTCATGGCACCAACACCTTGTTTGCTTTAGATGTCAATAGTATTATACATTGTTGAAAGGAGATATATGATGTTAATGCCAGCTTATTGATATAATTATGTTTGAGATCCTGTTTAAGCTTCCAAGAATAAGGAAATTGAAGTAGATTATTATTGGAACTTAATACACCTGAAGGTTTTCAGGAACTTAAAACTTACAAGTTTTATTTAGCCAGAACTATTTACGTTATTAAGATTGATTCAGTTTCCTTGGGAATATTTGATAATGTTGAGAAGCATGTTTTTCCTGTAGAATTGTTTATCCAAGCTGAACACTCAGACTCAGTTCACATCAGAATATTATCTTAGTCTTCTGGTATCCTGCCCATGTAAGTCTTTGGTTTGTTGGAAAAAAAATCAATTTTTGGCTGTAGATGAGTCATTGTGTACAGTCATATGGATTTGCATTACTAGATCATCTTACACAAGATTTACTCAATAGTATGAACTGAAGTTCTCTTAGAAGTGTTTTGCTATGCAGAAGTTTTAATAAAATGGTTGTCAATGAAGTATTCTTAATTTAAAAAAAAAATTGTTTTGCTTTGACATTAGATTAATTAAATCGGAATTTAGGACCATAAACACTTTAAAGGTAACTTTCCCATGCAGAAGTATCAATCAAATTCTCTTGTGATAATACAATAAATACTTTAGTAGTGTTAAATAGAAGTGACTTGATTGTATTCAGGGCATACAGTGTGGTATTATAATTAAATTTTGTGAAGTCGGAGTTTGAAGCATCAGTGTGATGTAATACACCGCTAACTGATTAGAAATTTTGTTATTGTGACAGCTAAATCAAACGAAATTTCAACTTTTCATGGATTTTTGTTAAAAACTATTTTACACTTGAAGATTTGGTATCATCAGCGATCATGTGTTTTCTTCCATTACTGTTACCTGTAAACCTTACATACTAGAGTTTGTATCTTTTCATCTTCTGTAATATTTACGTTTTTCAGATTTTAAAAAGTTCTAATTTAAGATTGGGAAAGATTTTTATTTACCTAAGTTCAAGCACAAGCTAATACAAGAACAAGGATTCAAAGATTCAGAGAATGAAAGTTTCAAATGTAACACGGTTTTGTTTCAAAATTAAATTTTAGCATTGAACCCCTGTTTACTATTTCCTGTTATTATTTTGTGCTTTAGAGAGTTTATGCTGCTAGGTTATATTCAACATTGAGTCGATGCAGACAAATCAATTCATCGTTAAATGATATACATAATGTAATGTGTATTATATGCCAAAACAGTTTTATCTAAATGTTGTACCAGAACTTAAACTAAAATGCATAGCCTATAAACCAAGGTGAATTCTGTCTGTTCTCTCCATCTGGGTGTTTATAAACACCCAACAGACAGAAATTTGATTTTCTTTTGTGGATTGGTTTTGAATGCGCAAGCAAGGCCTTGCCTGCATCATCAGAAAGCTTGGAAAAGTCAATAGCTAGTGGTTGTTACATCCTGTCTCCTAATCATTGTAATTATACACAGAACTAGAGCGCTAGGAGGAAATTACAAATTACAAAACTGTTGACCTGTGTATATATTGGTATTTCATTAAATGAAATTTTCTAATAATTCTTTTTAATTTTGCTAATTATGATATGTTTCTGTTTCTGTGAAACCTGTACACTATCATACATCAGACAGCACTAGATTTCATCTTTCAAACTTTTAGGCGATACAGATCAGATCACCTCAGTAAATCGGTGTCTTAAACCTCAATTTGCCTTCAGCTGGAAAAGCAAGTTAACTACCCTTAGAAATGTGAGTTGAAATGGGCAGAGCTGGCTGACAACAGGATGTAGGAGATTCACGAACCCCAATAACTGTTATTGTAGAGGACAAGCCAATGTGCCCTTGACATGACAACATAACATTGTTTTCTTTGATACCAAGGCTTTCTTCGTTTCCATTTTTTTTTCACTTTGATTAAAAGAAATAAAGAAAAGGGATTAAAAAAAAATTGAAACTTATTTATAGACCTGTAATGTCTTCTGAGTAGTCCGTGTAGAAGTCATCTTTTTTTTAGTCATTGAAGCTGTTTACATAATTATCCTCTATTACCTGGTATGTATTCTGTTCTGACAAATGTTTCACAACATTAATAGCCCACAGGTGTAAACTAACATGGTTGTGGTCAGAGTACATGATGTCACAGAGTTGTCTGATTTCTAGTGAAAAACATACAATCCAATTAGCCTCTCTTACAATCCTGACATGGGCATTCACAATATAGCATTCACATCAGAAAATATTGTTTGATCATCAAGTATTTGACTGATCAAATTATAACAGCTTTGTAGAAACAGCAACATACTTCATTTGTTAACAAAAGGAAACAATTGACCCGTTCCAGTATGATTCATTGTCATTCTTTTTTATAGAAATTTTGTCAATAAAGGTTTCTGAAGAAAAAAACATAATCATAGATGAATCCGTTCATTGGGATTTTCTTCTAGTTCCAGTTTGCGACCATTGGTGTCTGATTACAAGTACCAATATATAATTCTCCAGTAAATCGGTTATAGGCGAAGTCGCAGTTCAATCGCAAACTGGTATTTAGACCTGTCACTGTTGTGATTGATACGCCCTTCATTCTGTGTTACCTTCCATTGTCATTACCAAGGTTTACAGAGCCAGTTCAAATTGGTTTCTCTCCTTCCACCAGACTATATTGCTGCTACTACTGTTAGCCATTGATGAAATCGCAGTCAATCCTCCATCAACTTGGTCCTAAAGGAAAACATACAGACCACCATTTATAATTGATCTAAAGTGACCAATGCTGAGTTATTGTAGGAGAATGTTTTGTGCATTATGTTCATATGATTGAATCGTCTACATGTTAAAATAAATATTTCAGGAATTATTGTAAACTATTTCTAGGAACTTGTCAGAATTACATTAAGTGTCTAAAAATGTTCAGGCACTCTTTATATTGTTTAAACTTTATGTGTACTTAGTTTACTTTCTGTGATAAGATTTCAAGGAAAATTCTTGGAAACTTTGATCCTGTCTCTATTCTTCCATGATGTGAAAGCTTGATATGCAGCATTCTATCATAAGCCAATGAATGATCGATGAGCTGACAAATTGTCGTCAGTTTTTCATGATGAACTCACATTTTTGCTAACTCTAATGTAACGCTTGAATTATGCAATTGATTTTGTTTCCCTCCTACAAATCTAGGATATGATAAAAATTGGTTGTGCTTCATCAGATTGTATCAGTCATTCTGAGTCAGACCTCACACAACACATCATTTTGTTGCAGCATTTATCATACATGCAATTTTTATTTACTCATCTTCTTTTCTTTTCTGAAAATAACAATGTTGTATGTGTAATTTCTACAATTATTTCTTACTTTGTATCATTTCAGACAATTCATTAACGTGAAGATTTACGATCATGAGGAATACGAGAAGAATGAAACTTTCTACATTGAACTTGAAACACCAGTCCTGTTAAAGAGAGGCTCAGGTAAAAGCGTGTCCCTGTGTTTTTTCCCCTCCCACACATATATCTATAGAATCATGGCATCGTTAGTATTAGTATATGTCCTGCATTAAAGTTCAACAAAGAAAATTAATGCAAGATATCATAAAGTGCATAATGAATTATATATCTATATATATATATATATATCATTTTATGTACATATCAGATACCTGTACAGAAACAGCAACAACTTTTATTGCACATAATTTAGCTTCGACACAAATTGCTAGCTTACTCCCCTTTTTGATTTTGTTTTTTTATCTATGACTATAGTTGTTTATGCTATTGTTTTCTTGAAAATTGTTTTATTTAATTAGATAGCTTTGTTTTACAGGATTATAGTGAAAGAATAGATTTTATTTCTGGTCACTTGATGCTAGCAAAAATTTGTATCTTGAAATGATTATATAACAGAATGTAAACTGATTTGCTGGTAAATGATGTCATTAAGCATCTATGTTACATAGCTTTTGTTTATAGCGATGACACTGTGTCCATTAAAGGACACAATGAACTGCTGTTTGTGGACATAGAGATGCCGCCAATGCAACACCAAAACTGTACCCTTACACCGACTCTACCATCAAATTTCTTGCTAATTGTGAAATTATTCTTATACACTAATGCCAATTAACTGAAAAGATATTTTCAGTTAAGTTACTGGTATATATATGTACATCTAAAATTATTAGCAGTTTTGTTTCAAACTTGTAAATTATACAAATAATCCACATGTTCTTGAACATGCAGCAAGATTAATGGCATTGTCCTGTACATAAGTTTTTAGTCAAACATCATCGGATGATGATGGTATACTGTTCAAATCACCTTGCATCCATGGTCCTTAAACAATTTTTGTTATCTCTATTTCTTGAGAAGTGCTGGATGGATTTTTTTTCAAATTTCTGATAAAGTTCTCTTGGTCCCATGTTCTGCCTTTTTAACTTTAAACTGAGTAGAAAAATTAAAGGCTGATACATGATCATCTTGGATTTTGACAGTAGAAAATTGATTCTGACTATTTCTTAAGAAGTTCTGGGTGCATCATTCTCAAATTTCTTGTGTAGGCTCCCCATGGTCCCTTCTTGTGTATTAATAATGAGAACGATGAGAAAGACAAAATGGGCGACATGCAGGAGGCAGTCTTTTAACAGTTATAGGTTGTGTTTGCTTTCCTGAGAAGTCTCGCTGAATTGATGATGCGTCCTTAAATTTGGTTTTTGTTGTGTAAAAGCAAAATGGCCAACAAGTGCCCATCTTTGATTTTGACAAATGGAAAATGGATGAATTCTCTTGTCAATGCAACAAATAGTTAAAAGCAAATATGTATAATGTAAAAAGAGTTAAGAAGGGAAAATATCAAATTCACATAGAAGCAATAAAGATCAAACAGTCAAGATCATGAAAAATGATTAACTTCTCACAGAAAAAAAAGTCTTAAGACATTTACAAGACACTCCACAAGTTACTAAAACACAATTTACTTGTTCCAGAACCACTTTTTAGCAAGACTATTTGTTCAGATTGTCATGCTTGGAATGGTTCTTGCTAACCATAGTGGTTTGAACCAGATCTTTATTGCATTAAGTTTTCTTCTATGGATTAATTGTAATCAGGTCTGTTTTCCTGTAAAACCTGACATCAATCGGTATAATTTTCTTCTGTAAGTCTGTATTAACCCCGATTGGATACTTTAATATGATTAATAAGTTCTTTGATGCAACTGAAAACTTAGGGGAAACCAGTAAAGTGCAAACTGTAAATATCTTTCCGTAGTATATCACTCTTAAGGGAAGGTACTGTTGTTGGTGATAACCTATCTTTACTGCCAAAGTAAATAATAATATAGGTTGTGTTTGTGTTCTTATGTCAAGCTTCTTTATACAAGCCATTGATCTGAAGAGTAGAATTAGATTCTGGAAAAAGATAAAACATGTTCTTAATCTCCTGTTTCTACATAACCTTAACCTGGTACAACATTTTGAAAAACTTTCTAACCAGAACCTTGTTAATAAAACTTGGCATCTTGAATTTTTGGTTTGGTCATCTACCATATGTTACCTAATGAAATGGTCTAATTCCGTCTCTTTTCTTAATATACTGACTTGAGAATCTTGAAATTGTCTGTTTCAGATGTTTGGGAGAATTTTTTGAAATTCTGCTATATGTATCATTCTGGAATTGTATTAATGCCAAAGCTGTGGGTCACATTGTCTAGAATTAGGACTATAATTGATAGCTTCAGTCACCATAAAGGAACAGTATGGAGATTGTATGTGAAATGTGAATTATCTTCAGTTACAACAAAACAATCAGCTTTCACTCTAGTTATTTGGAACTGTTGGAAGAAAACATAGTTGGCGCTGCTTTGAATTCCTTCAATTTTGTTTTTATAATAGAAAATCTTTAGCCAGTTTGAGGCATTCCTATGTCTCTAGCTACAGCAATACTGACTATGCTGGATTGTTCTTGGTTTTCAGTAATAGTTTTGGAAGTTGAGTACATACAATTTTGCTAAAATTGTTTACCACAGGTAGTATGGTTGTCAACTTTTAGGAAGGTTCTACTACAACAACTGAATTAGAACAAAACAAATAGTAGCTATGGTTTACAAATATTGTGTAAATGCACTTTGATCTGTATGTCCTGTCAAATCTTATCTTGTTCTCAAAGTAAAACGTAAATTACCATTTCCATTTCATGGGCGTAGGGCACCTGAGCCAAAGTCACAGGCATCTTATGTTCTACAAGAATTACCTCACATATTTGCCAGGCTTTACATTCAACCATCCCAGAAACATCAACAGTGTCATTGAATATCTTTTATCCTTCATTTTCTTCTTTACCTTTTTTCAGTCAGTCTAGCTATGATCCCAACATTTTCAACATTTAACTCTATCAATTAAATTGCGGTATAACAGCTTCATTAAAGATGTTAAATGACAGACATCTCAATAGTTGTCTGGCCCCTTTTTTTATCTTAAATCTTGTCTGCTTTTAGTGTTTTGGGGAGCATTATTTGTAGAACAGATCCAAGTTGTGATAAATAGGCTTGCTGGCCTATATTCACTTGCCAGAATTTTCTGTTCTGAATAATTCAGATGATGAAGTTGTTTTTTTTTTTACTTATTAATTCAGACAAAGAATAAATGTTTTCTTGGTTGCTTTTCCTGGTGTAGCCAAGACCTCCTCTATGCTTGTTTAATTAAGTTAACATTCTTGAACTCTCACCAACAAGATTTGTGTACTGTACATCACGTAAGTTAGATAACTATTTCATCTTTAAGAGAATTCAAATTTAATTTGATGATCTGATTTTGCTCTATGACTTAATATAATTTGAACCTTCACCCAAGATCATGATGTTATTTAATGTAGACTTGGAAGGTTGGTTTCATCTGATGCAGAGTGTAGTTTCTAATATTTTCTATAGTGCAATTGTAATGAATCCAAGAAATATTCCATGAAAAACAGACAGTTTTGAGTACAAATTGAAATCTTGACAGAAAAAATGAATTCTTTTTAACATTATCTCTGGAAAGTGTCTGTCTTCCAAAACAAAACTGAAAGGTTGACAATATCACTCTTTGGTATAGAAAGATAGAAAATAAGTTTTGTATTTGTTTTATTGTTATAAAAGAGTTGGATCAGTGAAGTGCATAAAGAATATCATTGATTTTCCCATGCCTTTCTCATCTACATCCCATTTCATATTCCCTGTGTAATTTGGAGGAAATCAATCATTCTGGATATTTGTTATGTAATTCAAATTACGGACTGAAGCATTTTTGTTACAATAGAAGGAATCCCATTGCCATTAAAAGAATTGTTTTTGCAATAAAACTGCAGCATTATTAATTGCTTACAAGTTGCGGTTGTCACCACCCGACACCTGGTTGAGAGTTTTATCATTTTAACCAAGTGAATCCCCACTACATGAATAATAGATTATTGTTCATTCATACTTTCCGGTATGTTAGAACGTCTACTTTCCTGTGAACTGGTAAATTCTGAATTATTCATCACCTCACTAAACACACTGCTACACAACTCACTTGTTAATGGCTGCCTAAACAGCTTTAATCAAACATATATTGTATTTTCAAACAACCATTATACACCGCCATAACATTAGTGCTGTTGGTTTGATCATTTGACTAGGTAAAGAGTGCATGATTCTTTATAAAGACCTTAAAATACTATCAGTGGATGCTAGTACTTTAGAAATTTTGGGCTGTTAATATCAATGATGACTGTTGTTTATCCACTGAAAATTTCTTTTTGTTAAAGAAAAAATATTTCAAAGCTATATTCACAAAACGAGATCACTTGTCAACTTGCAGCTAACATCATGGTATCCCACCAGTACAGTACTAAATAAGACTAGCATTTGTTTTCCATCAGGACAACAGTCCATCTAAGTATGACAGAAAACCACATCACAACTGAATTGTTTTTGGGTACTTCTTGGATATGGATGGTGATCTGAAGTGTTTTACTGGAAGTGAAATCAGGTTTTGGGTTTTAGATTTTTGTAGTTATGGCCCTTTGTCACACATCATTGCCAAATTTTGTATAAATGAGTCTAGCGTTGTTGCAGTATCAAATGCTTGAATAAGGACAATATGCTCAGCTGAATTTTGAATCTCTTCTGTCACCAACAACTGCCAAAGGGATTGTGGATTGTCACACACTGAAATCTGGTCCAGTTATGGAACTATATAGACAAATGGCCTTATGTTGACTCCTTTGCACTGTGTTAGGGATGTAACTATTATGTGTGACAGTTTCGGGTGTCAGGTTATTTTACATACCACTTTGGGACTATGATAGCTCAATCAATTTTGACTTATGATACCTAAGATGATTAAATTCAGATCTCTGTTATGTTGTTTAAGGACTGGTCTCTACTGTCATGGTCGTGTTCTTTGGCAAAACACTTTGCCCAAATGACATCCAAGTGTTAAGCCCAACAAGCAAACAAATTCATACCTACACTTAATATGGAGTTATAGACCTTTGTAAACTTGGATATTACCACTGTGAGATGTTTTATATTGTCAAATATCTAATGCAGACTGCCTATCTTTCCTCCCTTTTAATTTTATGAAAAGGAAATCATTCTCACCTAATTTTGAAAAATCTAAATCTTATTTCAAAATTTTCAATTTAGCTCTTGAAATATGTAATAAAAATTGTTCAATGAAAGGTTGGTGAATGAATTGTTAATAAGATAGGTTAGTGTAATGGACTTTGAAAACAGATCATCTCTAACTTTCAGCTGCAGGTGCTATTATATTGCTTTGCTATAAAAGAAAATTGATTTGATTTTCAACTGACTACTAGAAATTATTTCAGAAAAGGAATTCAGGAGCAGGTTAATGATAACGAAGAACTTTCAGGAAGTAAAATTAGCAATAAATTTGGTCTTTCTCCAGTAGAAGTATTGAATCAAATTATAATTGATTAACTATAAATATTTTTGTGACACCATAACTACATGTATTTTGCTAATAATGACAAATATGATATGCAAACTGATTGCTTCATGTCAAATATCAAGTTAGACATATAAAATTTTCATAAACCATTTAATTGTTTTTGGGAATAAATATATCTCTCAGTGAGCCTAAGGGGAATTATTGAATGGATATCAAAAATAACAATACAATACATGTCATCACTTCTACAAGAGAGATCATGATGTCTCAAATTTCTTCCCATAAACATGATTATTTATAGAGTCAGATGATTTAAGACCAAAAGAGGATAGAAAATGATTAAGTTGTATTTCAACATTTTAAAATTGAATCATAAATGTTCCAGATGTCAATGTTTGGGGTATGAAATCTACACCTTTGCTGGAAAAGGCGAAATCTTATGATTAAAATTGTTTGAAAATGTCACTGTTTTTGAGGATAAAGTCTATAGGTTTACAGGAGGCTTTTTTTTTTTTTTAAGAAATTTCAAGATTGAAGAATTTTAAATATCTGGGCAGTATATAATCCTGATTCATTGCTCCCCATCTTACAGGCTATTAGATTAAGAAACCAAAAATATGCACAATGGCACTCTAAAAACTTGGAAGTAATTCCCAGCAGTAATTTTATTCTTGCTGCCTGACACATTCTCAATTTAACTTCTCTACCCATGCAATCAGCAATTAGGTTTAGGAACTCTGAAATCTTAATTAAATTATTTTTTAAAATTTTTATCTCTATATACTTTATAACCATGTTTAAACTTGTTCAGAAAATAAGGAATATTATTCCTAAGAATATACTTCCATGGTACGACTTTAGTTAGACTCCAGAAGTTCTTGTAAGTTTGTACTACTGTTACCTGCTTAATACTGAAATATTGGTCCTCATCAGTACACAGTGACCTGTGGTAGCAGTACATTTTCTGTAAATGCAATATTTGCTGTATATACTAAGGTAATTGTCTTCTTGCCAAAACATTTGAAACATGGATAACTCACTCAGTGGTACTCGCGTGCATAAGCCAATAACATGATATAGTTACAATTTCTTGTCTTGTTAAGAACCCTTTGTAAGATCATTCCTGAAATTGTTCAAAATTGCAAAACAATTAAATAGCAAAATTCTTTACATTGTCTTCTGTAGCAGTTCTTCTGATACTAATTTTTTTATTTCTATGGGGAGGGAGGGTGAGAGTTCCACGGATCTTTTATTTCCACACATATTTCTAGTTCAGACTTTTTATTTATGATTTTTTTTGTATATATTTTTCAAAGCATGCAAATTATTTTTAAGCATTTAATAAGATTGCAAATGAGAATGGCACTAAGATCAATTTCTGAATTAATAATGGTGTTTTCAAAATCTTCCTTTTTGTAGTGGAGGATCTAGGTCTTGAAGATAAGTATCAAATCCACAATTTTGGATTCTGATTGGTATTATATTGTCTTAATACTATCCCTTATGGGAGTTGATTGAATTGGTGCATTCACACATACTATATATATCTACTCTCCCAGGCTGGATTGGTTGATTTTTCCTGCAGCTCAGTTTTTAGACCTTGTATATATTTTGTGTTTTGACAGTTCAAAATGGAGGTAAAACAATCTTCACTGCTTAGATGAGCTTTAATTTTTTTCGCAAATGCCCTTGCCAGCATGTTTTCCTATGATGAGCCTCCAAAATAATTATCATTACCTTGTAATCATAATATTGTATTTCAGTTAATAATTTTTGTCTTTTTAAAAAATTGTTTTTTGATTATCATTTCAGACTAATATTATTATTAATTAAAAGTTGTTTGTTGACATACTGAATTGGATGTCCTTATTTTGGCAAAGTAGTGTTATCCGGTGAATTGTTGGTGTCATAACCATTGCTGACGGTCACAATACATTAAGCTGTGCCTGATATCCTTGTCTTGGTATAGTAGTGTATATACTCTATTTGAGATGTGACTGGCCTCTCTACTGTCTAAGTACTGTATCAACTTTGTTACATAATGTGATCGTGATGTTTCTAACCATATAGATGTAAGTTTAGCATTTTTGTCATGTGTATCCCATCCTTATTTCAGGTGAAAGCATGAAGACTAAATCCTAGTAGATTATCTGGCTATATTCAAGATACAAAAATACACTAACTTCATCATCCATTTTCATAGAACCTGCAGTTTTCACGTACTGCCATATTTTTGTAGCATTATTCTTTGTTTTTGAGTACGTGCAAATAAGATCTCAAACTAGGTGAGATGTGCTTAAGGAAATAAAATATCACATTAAAATTTTTTGCTTACATACTCCAGATTGGCTTTTACCAAAATTCAGTTGTGTTTTTCCATTAGATACCTCATGTCAGAAACAATGTGATATGGTCTATTGATGAAATTGATCTTATTATAATGAGTTGTTTGCATATTGTTTAAAGAAGATGTTAGAATTCAGTGTTTTAGAGTTTTAGCTTGTAATCAGAAAAAGTCACAATATTCATTCATGAGGATATTAGAATTCATTGTTTTAGATATCTTGAATGGCCAGCATTGATACCAATGTTGATGGCATGGTGATATCCCTTAAGTCTTACAATAGGAGCTTTCAGTCCTGAAAATGTCAGAAAACTTTTTAAAGTTTTGATATCAAATTTGTTTTTATTTTTTAATACTTTAAAGGAAAGTGCAAAAGTGTTTTTCTCACTACATATTTTGTGAAACTGATATAAAAGAAAAGAGTGATTAGTTCTAAATCAGAATCATGTCAAGCTAATCATGTTTAGTGACATACATGTTGGAAGCTCTGGTTGTTAGATCCATAAGGCAGTAGCTGAAAACCTGTGTAGCATGGTACTTTCCCTTTACAGTAACTTTACTGTTGGATAAGGCACTTTACAAAATGAAATGTATATGTATGTGAATCTGCATTTGATGAAATGTCATGAACTAGAACAGGAATACCTTGTATCCTAATATTTTCTAGCACTTTGCATTACAATACTTGAGCTTGTGGTAGAATGATCACATTCAAAACTTAAAGATCTATTTAACCATTTTAACCAGTTTACTTTTAAATGTGTTTAAAATCTTGGAGGAAAATATGTGAAATGTATGCATCGTTAGCATACTTGAAGAAAGTTACATCATTTTTTTTTTGTTCTAAATCCAACAAGATGTCTTTTCATTAAGGTAAAATGAAAAGATTTTTAATGGTCCTGTGTAGCTGTGAAGCTACCTGTGATTTACTGATAGAAATGCTCAACAAATGAGGATTTTTTTTAATCATTGAAGGCAAAACATAAGCACCTCAATTAAAATTCTACATTTGTGAAATATAGAAAAAAAAACTACATGTAACTGTTAGATTCAGTAAGATGTTGAAAACATTGCATGATGAGATTATTTTCTGATTGTAAAGTTAACAAGGGCAAGGTATTTACTTTGATGCTATTTTACTAGGTAAATGTGAAGACCTGGATGAGGAGGATACAGAAGTAGATGAGGATGGAAAACCAAGGCTTGGTGAAACCACCAGGATCTGTGTTAACATCCGTGAGACTGTTGAGTTCAAGGTCAGTATTACTGAATGTCAAGGTCATACTACACTAAGATAGATACTACGTTTATTCAGATACATGTTGATGAATCAGCTAGACAATTCATCAGACAAATGTTAGATTGATTGGAAACAAAACCGTATGAAGCAAAGCAAACACCACTTCATACCATCTGTCTGTGAACTGCATTTCCAGCTGGACCACTTGGGGATCTATTACTTAAAGGAATGTCATGGTTACTACAAGTTTTCATTATATTGCCACCTGTTGACCTCCTTTGTCAGACCTCTAGTGACCATGTGGCTATGGGATGGGACACTTTCATTATCTATTGTCTGGGTTTCCAGATAATCATTTCTTACTTAAACTCTTGCTATATAGACTGTTTATTTCCCCTTACTCAAGCCTACCATTGCATTTACTGTGTTTATCAAATCTAATTGTTACATAACAAGAATTCTACAAAACTCTCCAGCTCTCACTATACACACTTGTTTCAGGAAGCAGTTCTGGTTTTTTTAAGCTATCGTTTTCCCTTCTATATCAATTTGTCTATGAATGTGTACTTACTATCCAGGATACATGTTTGGGCCAGCTCCCACTTACTGGCTAGGAAAAGTAGTTACTCTGCCAAATCTTCTAAACATTCCACTGCCCCACCCTTTTTCTATATAACTGAAAATAAAAGAATTTGATAGTCAATTTATCCTTGGGATTTATGATTGTTTGAAAACTTTTCTCTCTGATAAGCCTTTTGATAAAGTCATTGGACTATTACCAAAAGTATTAGTCTGTAGTTTGGCAAAGAAAAGTTATGTATGTTGAGATGGCTTTCACATTGTTAAAGAGATGATCAAAGATTCCTTGTTTTTGTGTTAATTAAATTCCAAGCCATTAGTTAGTGTATTTAAGAAAAGAAAAGTGGTTTAGGTAATGAAGTTCAAAGTAGATATTATCTGGGGTCAGTAAGATTAACATCAAGTTCAGAGGCTGTTTTAGAAGACAGAGGTCACTATGTCAGTATTGATAAGTCAATATGATAAGTCCATGGCATTAGGCCAAATTTTATTTATGTGTAGCTGTCCCATTTTGAATTAGATGTTTACTTAAAGTTATTTTTTGTTAGAAACTTATGACATCATCATCTAAAGTGATGTGATGTGCTGATTCTCCTCACATACAACATATAGGCCGTATTTCAGAGGATAATTGTCAGGTGACTTTCCAGGATTCCCTCACCAAGCACCATCACCAAGACATTTTATATATAGCTTACCTCATCCACAGCCTATCACCTGTGCTTTAATAGATTTTCCATGTTTTTATTTCTTTATGATGAGGATACACATCAGTTTTTTGGTGCTGATACAGCACTCAAGTGGATGTACCAATCTACCAACATAAACCATATGGTGGTTACTTGTGCCAGACACTCTAAAAGTGTGACATTCTGAACTGTCTCCTGCAGAGCTTAGCATCATCCTGATATCATCTCAAGCTAAAATTGATATCTGTAATGTAGTCCTGTGCTGTGCCATGTGGAATTCATTTCATTTGCTTAGATTTTGATGAATACAGATTGTAGAAAAGTATTTTTATGATGTAATATAAAAGACCTGGAGAGTGGTATAGCTGCATGCATGCAGGGACTATGTAATGAATGTGATGGAGAAAATGCATCAGATCATGGTTGATATGATGTTTATATAGGTTACATATATCTGACTTGATAGTGAACCATTACGGTAGCTCGTTAAGTGTTTCTCTCAAGTCTTTCACTCTAACTATTAATACAAAGGATCCTCACAAATGGCTTATCAGAGAACTACAAGAATTTGTCATGCAAAAATCTTAACCAATATATACAGCTACACCAAAAGTCTAGCATCAAAGTGAGCATGTGTGGCCCAACGTGACAGCATGGTAGTATAGTGAAACTAAATATATTTCAATCACCTTAAAACTGAGGTATTAGCGTTTGATTATAAAAGGATTCTTGTCTCATCTTTCTGGTTTAACACATCAGATCCCAAAATTATTTTGACATCAATGCTTCATTAAAATTAATTTTTCATTAGAAATCAGTTAAATTTTGAGAAATACAGTTCGTTTTGATGACCTATCATCTCTTCAGTGACAATCAATTCTTAACACTTGAAATCACACTTAATTACCATATCTATATTTTAGTTTGTCTTCATTTGACACTTAATAAATTAGACACAACAATGTTTTGAACCAGATTAAATTTATGTAACAACTGCAGGTCAACTAGCCTACTTAATTCTACAACAGGTAATTCTTATAAACATGCAGGAACAAGCTGTACTGAGTTGGGGGAGTTTGAGGTGAACTCTGTCTTAATAACCTTGTCTGTCATTAAAAATTCACCAGGATGTAAGGTGTAGGAGTAGACTGATGGCTCATTACACACTAATTGTTATTCATGTTGAAGGAACACTATTCTTTTTGTGTCTAAGTAAATCTTCCTGTAATTGTACCTGCCTAGAAGCCTTTCACATCTCACTGTATACACAGTGTATGTGATTTTACTACAAAGGTAGTTTCGTTACTTAAACAGGAAATAGCATACAGTTGTTATAATAGCTATCATAAACTGATTAAAATTTAACCTATATTTTCTCTCATCATATATTCACAAATTTTATAGGTAAGTTGATGATGTTACTCAGACAATGGTGATAGCTTCTAATGTCACTCAGACAATGGTGATAGCTTCTAATGTCACTCAGACAATGGTGATAGCTTCTAATGTCACTCAGACAATGGTGATAGCTGGTAATGTCACTCAGACAATGGTGATAGTTGGTAATGTCACTCAGACAATGGTGATAGCTGGTAATGTCACTCAGACAATGGTGATAGCTGGTAATGTCACTCAGACAATGGTGATAGCTTCTAATGTCACTCAGACAATGGTGATAGCTGGTAATGTCACTCAGACAATGGTGATAGCTGGTAATGTCACTTAGACACTGGTGATAGCTGTTGATGTTACTCAGACAATGGTGATAGCTGGTGATGTCACTCTGACAATGGTGTTAGCTGGTGATGTTACTCAGACAATGGTGATAGCTTCTAATGTCACTCAGACAATGGTGATAGCTGGTAATGTCACTCAGACAATGGTGATAGCTGGTAATGTCACTCAGACAATGGTGATAGCTGGTAATGTCACTCAGACAATGGTGATAGCTGGTAATGTCACTCAGACAATGGTGATAGCTGGTAATGTCACTTAGACACTGGTGATAGCTGTTGATGTTACTCAGACAATGGTGATAGCTGGTGATGTCACTCTGACAATGGTGTTAGCTGGTGATGTTACTCAGACAATGGTGATAGCTTCTAATGTCACTCAGACAATGGTGATAGCTGTTGATGTTACTCAGACAATGGTGATAGCTGGTGATGTTACTCAGACAATGGTGATAGCTGGTGATGTTACTCAGACAATGGTGATAGCTGGTGATGTTACTCAGACAATGGTGATAGCTGGTGATGTTACTTAGACAATGGTGATAGCTGGTGATGTTACTCAGACAATGGTGATAGCTGTTGATGTTACTCAGACAATTGTGATAGCTGGTGATGTTACTCAGACAATGGTGATAGCTGGTGATGTTACTTAGACAATGGTGATAGCTGGTGAAGTTACTCAGACAATGGTGATAGCTGGTGATGTCACTCTGACAATGGTGTTAGCTGGTGATGTTACACAGACAATGGTGATAGTTTCTAATGTCACTCAGACAATGGTGATAGCTGGTGATGTTACTCAGACAATGGTGATAGCTGGTGATGTTACTCAGACAATGGTGATAGCTGTTGATGTTACTCAGACAATGGTGATAGCTGGTGATGTTACTCAGACAATGGTGATAGCTGGTGATGTTACTCAGACAATGGTGATAGCTGGTGATGTTACTCAGACAATGGTGATAGCTGGTGATGTTACTCAGACAATGGTGATAGCTGGTGATGTCACTCAGACAATGGTGATAGCTGGTGATGTTACTCAGACAATGGTGATAGCTGCTGATGTCACTCAGACAATGGTGATAGCTGGTGATGTTACTCAGACAATGGTGATAGCTGGTGATGTTACTCAGGCACTGGTGATAGCTGTTGATGTTACTCAGACAATGGTGATAGATGGTAGTGTCACTCAGACAATGGTGATAGCAGGTAATGTCACTCAGACAATGGTGATAGCTGGTGATGTTACTCAGACAATGGTGATAGCTGGTGATGTTACTCAGGCAATGGTGATAACTGCTAATGTTACTCAGACAATGGTGATAGATGGTAGTGTCACTCAGACAATGGTGATAGCAGGTAATGTCACTCAGACAATGGTGATAGCTGGTAATGTCACTCAGACAATGGTGATAGCTGGTGATGTTACTCAGTCAATGGTGATAGCTAGTGGTAGTGTTTTTTGACGTCAACTTTTTCCTTTTAACAACTTCTTTTCAATAACGAGTGTACCAAATGTTTTGATAGTTGGCTGGTATGTTCCTAGGATGAAGCTTGACAAAGTTTGCAAAAAGAAATGACCTTGACTGATATGCAAGGTCACAGGGGTCAGATTTGTTAAAATCATTAAATGACTTCTTCTCATGGTAAGGTCTTATGATAAATCTTGGAAAAGTTTGCAAAAATAAGTTACCTTAACCTATACTTAAGTAACCCATATTGAATGTCACAGGGACCAAATTTTTTGAAACCAGTAAAAGATTTCTTCTAGTAAACTGAAAGTCCAAGTAGCATGTTATTTGGTGGAAAGGTGTTTCTTGGTCAAAGCCCAACAAAATTTAAGAAAAAGAGATCTGGCATTTACTTAAAATCCAGGTCATAATTGTCACTGTTTAGAGGTGAGTATTTGAAGCTCTTTGTTGTTGAAATTGGTTAAAATCTATTGGATATGCCAACTTTGATGCTAATGGTGAATATGTCAATATATTTGTGATATCAACACTGATTATATTTTTGATGAACATTGAATACCAGACGAGTGATGCAGACCCATTAGGCCTCTTTTTTTTGTTTGTTTTTTTTTTTTCAAATATGCTTTAGGAAAAGGTTAACTCGTTATAATTTTGATTTTCTTGAGATTCTGAAATGGTTATGTTATAGGTTCTTTACCAATAGTTACAGAAAGAGGGAAGATTACAGGTGTAATTGTAGGTATTGCCTGATGGTAATAACATTGTAACTACCTAGTGTATATGTCTAAACATTTCTTACTGTGATGGCTGTAATAGAATTAAACTTTCCATGATTTTCAATTTGTTGGTATTTTATGGCCATGGGATCTCTGGAAAAAGAACAGTAAAGAAATTGAAAATGTCAAGCTGAAGTAAACATGATGTGTCGTACAGTAGACCACCTGATGCTAGTGGTAGATTGTCACTCAGTGGTAATTACATGACTGCCAGAGTACATCACTAAATGTCAGAAATGTTAATGAAGTATCAACACTTTCACTTGCTATTGATATTTACTCTGTATCTTAATACATAGACAACAAAACCTGACTTTTCCCTAATAACATTAAGCATTCTATTCATATATCAAACTTCATTCATATTTTTGTTGTTCAAAAGAGATTTTCCTCGGAAAAAAATGGAAATGTGTTTGAAGGAATCACATCACATTTCATTCCTCCAGGGTCAATAACAATAAACTTCAGTGAAATATTCTGTTAGTTTTGGTGTTCATTATTCTTATATTTCATGCATTCGTGGATAGGATATTTTGCTATTTATATCCCTCAAATATACCCTACTGTAATACAGGACATTACTTCAAAGATAAAAGTGAAGCTGTATGGATTCAAGGTAGTGTAGTTACCTCCATTGAGTGAAATGGTTCAGGCTTGTTTGAGGAGCTTGAATTCAGTAAATATTTCCTTGTGTTAGGCATACAATCTGTTTACCATATAATGATTACAGGCACTTATTTAGACTGGTATACTATTTGTACACTTTCCTGAAATAAATGGTTAGTCAATATGTTTATCCATATTACTTTAATATAGAATCTGTGTAGAATTTCCATTGTAAACAGCTGTCTGTTGTGATTATGACCCATTGTTCTTAAACACTTCAGTAAAATGTTTACTTAGGGAAGAGAGTTTGACTGCAGCCATCTGACAAGTTCCACTCCAACAAACAAAAAAGAGCAGAAAACAGCCCTTCCAAGCGTTTGTGAAACGGTTGATTTGTGCTATTTATGTTTATTCAATATTCATACATACTTTGCTATTAAAATAGGGTTTTTAGCCTAAAAATCAATGAAACAAATGAACAATGGTTGTCATTGATGCAAAACTAACATAGTTATCACACAAAGTTGATATGGGACCATTGAACCACAATAACAAAATCACCATTAACGTACATCCTTTAGTGATGTGATCTTATGTTTGTTATAGCAAGTACACTTCTGTTCAGCTTTTCATTGATAATACATACACATGATGAATATACTGTTTACATAATGATGTACATTATATCAATGTTTCGATATTTACATTTCTTTTGTGTGGTTTGAAAACAAACCAATTTATTCTAAGAGAAAAACACACAAAATCATCGCCTCTGTATGTTTTTGAGTCTCTTTAGAAAAGACAATGTTAAAACAGTATGAAATGTTTAATGATCCAAATAAAACCTCTGAGAAGGATTGAATAAGTCTTTGGTGTATTTAAACATACTTTCAAGTTATCAAAGTATCTTGTACTTAACCTATGTTAAATGTAGATACATTTCTCTGTTGTACTGTTGAAGTGAAAGGTGTATGTTAGATATAATTTGGTAAACAAAATTGATGTGATCCATGTATCAGATCAGAATTTTGTATAGAATTTCTGAAACAATGACTTTTTTGTTTTCTGATAACTTATGATCATGTATGTATTACAATATCTGGAAACGCTTTTGCCTATGAATTTTCACATCTAACTTGACACCATTAAACATACACAAATTTTTATTCTCTTCAGAATGTGGTTGACAAACTGTTGAAGAAGGCCAATGTTTCCCTGGTCGTGGGCACCTCCTCCTGGAGGGAGCAGTTTGTAGAGGCTATCACAGTCAGTGCTGGTAAGTGTACTTCTGGTAACCAAAGTCTTGTAAAATATTGTCAACAAATCTTAATTAGCCACTAACCAGTTCTACCAAAAAGGACTATAAGTTTGTGTCTGTCGCCAACCAGTACTACGAAACAGGACTGTTGGTTTTCTGTTGGTCACCTACCAGTTCTCCTGAAAGGGCTATTGGTTGTGTCAGTTGCCTACCAAAAGGGTTTATAGGTATTTGTCATTCTCCCACCAATACTACTAGAGGGTATCACAGGTTTGTGGCAGTTCTCCACCATTACTAACTGTAGAAGGTTATGGGTTTTGTGTCAGTCTTTTACCGGAACTGGGGGAACTATAGGTTTAGGGGCATTTCTCATGTAATCTTTTGTTCACAAAGCTCAGATATTGGTTCGTAGTTATCCAAGATATTTTCTTTAAAGTATTGTGTTGTTTATGCAGAATTTGTGCATGCAAGTACATCTTGTGATAGGGGAATGGTTAGTGTATTAGTAGTAATGGTGTTCGGCTATATAAAGAGTTATATCCCCTTGTCCATATTTAATTGGAAAATTCACTAGAGGTACATGGGGAATTCATAATTCTTATTTGTGTTCTAAAGGATGTTTTTGTTAAGATATAAATGTCATGTAAGATCATGTGTTTAAACAGTTTAGTTTACATTTCTCTAAAGCATTAGCAGCTAGGCATCAGCAGGTTCAGCAAAAATGTCTGTTCCTGTCGCATTATACCATTAGTAGTTCCTGTCGCATTATACCATTAGTAGCAAGACAGGTAGGAATATGCACAAAATACACCTGTTCAATGCCATACTGTTGTGGACTTTAAAGTGTGAGTCATTCAGCAATTCCATTGATTTTATAGTGGATAAATCTTGTTGCTGATTATAGGTGAGGATGATGATGAGGAGGCAGAGGAAAAACTTCCATCCTGTATGGACTACGTTATGCACTTCCTTACTTTGTTCTGGAAACTGATCTTCGCTTTTGTACCTCCTACAGGTGAGTCTATCTGTAAAAAACTGTCTTTTTTACAATGCCAAATGAGCTTTTCTGTTATATGCCCCAGCCATTTTATAAGGGTAGAGATGGGCATAACGCGTCATTGAGATATTTTACTCAAGCCAATGTTATTACTAACATATATTTATTATTTCTTTGGGGAATTTCAATATAAAGATCACTTCTGAGAATCAATAAAAATACCAATTTCATAGTGTTTCAAGGTAAAAGTCACTATGTATGCTTCATAGTTTTTATAGAAATTTGTTAAACAATGATAATAACTTGCAGGGGGGAGGGAGCATTCATGTTTCAGACAAGTACTAATATTTTCTGTCTTTTTGTCATCACTTTAGTCAGTGTATTTATTTTATTACAATTCTGCTTGGGAAATATAAGAAAATGTTGATTTTATAGGAACTTATATCACCTCTGCAGCGACAGTTCAATGTATGAGATAAATCATCATTGAACTGTGGCTGTGATGATGTAATTATTGAGAGCAGTGTTCAGAAGATGTGAGGTGGTGGCTTTTATTCCCACCTCTGTTAAGTCCCGTCCCTATACATCGGTAATCTTGTCAGAGTCAGTCCGAGTCTCTACAATGGATTGTCGCATAGCATAATGCAAGGAGTCCCTCCGCTTCTGTCTAGTCAGCCTTTGGTGGTTTGATGAATTTTACCAGTCTTTTCTGTGTACATTACAGGTTTTCTTTAAGTTGAAAATCTTATTACAGTTTGGCATTGACCCCTAGCAGAGAAATGTTCAAGTATGAATTAGATTCTGTGTATAGTGGCAATGTTGAAATGGCGCTGTCTTCTTGTGAAAGATAACACCATCACTATCCGACGTTAAAGATTATGCTAATGTTTCTTACCTATTTTTTTAGAACGAGTTCTTTTATGCTTGGATCAGCGTTTTGTTTCTTTTTTTTTGAAAGTTTAAAAAAGTAATTTCCAGTTGGTGATCTAATGTATTTTAAATTGTGTGATAGGATATATTTTTCATTTGTGCTTTGTACTTGTGGAAAAACATAGAAAAAAATATATTTAAAAAATTTGTATAATGGAAAAATATATGTTGATCCATGTTTGTAGCCCATCATCATCAGATTGCTGCTCAAAGTTCCCTTCATCTGAGGTCTATCAACCATTCATCCCTTATCAATCATTGCTATTGCTATTTCTTAAGAAGCACTTGAGGGATATTTTTCTTTGTTTGTAAATTCACATCTGTCTATAGTGCTCAATCAATTTTGAATCCAATCAGTGGAACAAGATGGCCGACAGGTGGATGGCCATCTTTGATTTTGAAATTTGTTATTGCTAATTCTCTGGAAGTTTGTGTTAGATCTTTCTTAGACTTCATATAAAGAATTACCTTGTTTTCAAATGATAAAGAAGAAAAAAGGGAAAGTAGAGAAAAGATAAGTTTTTTATTGACCTGATAAAGATCATTCAATGGCGAACAACACAATCCCTCTGAGATTTCTTGCTATAACATTGATTCATATTACTTACTCATTAATACAAGCATATCAGTAACTGTGCTGATGAACACTATCAGTATAATATTGAGATATAAGTATATCATTATACAGCTATTACTAGTGATTGTTGATTATACAGATGTATTACTATGTTTTGTGAACTATTTATAGACTACTTTGGTGGATGGGCCTGCTTCACAGTCTCCATTATAATGATTGGTCTGCTGACTGGACTCATTGGTGATCTGATAAAGATCATTCAATGGCGAACAACACAATCCCTCTGAGATTTCTTGCTATAACATTGATTCATATTACTTACTCATTAATACAAGCATATCAGTAACTGTGCTGATGAACACTATCAGTATAATATTGAGATATAAGTATATCATTATACAGCTATTACTAGTGATTGTTGATTATACAGATGTATTACTATGTTTTGTGAACTATTTATAGACTACTTTGGTGGATGGGCCTGCTTCACAGTCTCCATTATAATGATTGGTCTGCTGACTGGACTCATTGGTGATCTGGCTTCAAGTTTTGGTTGCACTATTGGACTTAAGGATGCAGTCACAGCCATCTCCTTTGTTGCTCTTGGAACCAGTATTCCAGGTAAAGTGTCAAAACTTAGACATAAAAATACCTGTATTACAGATCTATTGGTGTCAAAACTTATGACAGAAAAATACCAGTATTCCAGGTCTATTGGTGTCAAAACTTATGACAGAAAAAAATACCAGTATTCCAGGTCTATTGGTGTCAAAATTTATGACAGAAAAGTTCTAGTATTCCAAGTCTATTAGTGTCAAAACTTATGACAGAAAAAATACCACTGTTCCAGGTCTATTAGTGTCAAAACTTATGACAGAAAAGTTCTGGTATTCCAGGCCCCACTTGTATAAAACATCTCAACTTGAGATTTCCTCAAGTCGAGATTTTCCTCAGCTAATATCTCCTTAAAAATATCTTGTATGAAAATTCCTCAAGGAATTTCAGGACATCCTAGCCGTTACTTCCTCCTGTTCCTTGAGAAAATTTTATTCAAGTCGTTTTTGAGGAGATATCAGCTGAGGAAAATCTCGACTTGAGGAAATCTCAAGTTGAGATGTTTTATACAAGTGGGGCCAGGTCTATTAGTGTCAAAACTAAGACAAAAAGTTCCAGTATTCCAGGTCTATTAGTGTCAAAACTTATGACAGAAAAATACCAGTATTCCAGGTCTATTAGTGTCAAAACTTAGACAGAAAAGTTCCAGTATTCCAGGTCTATTAGTGTCAAAACTTATGACATAAAAATACCAGTATTCCAGGTAAAGTGTCAAAACTTAAACCAAAAAGTTCCAGTATTCCAGGTCTATTAGTGTCAAAACTTATGACAGAAAAATACCAGTATTCCAGGTCTATTAGTGTCAAAACTGGAAAAAAAAACAAGAAAAGATAGGGCTGATAGTATTAAAAGTTTAGACAGAAAAATATCAGGTTTATTAATATCAAAACGTAGAGAGAAAGATGTTGGATCTAACAATGTCAGAATGTAGACAGAAAGATATCAGTATTTAGGTCTATTAGTGTCAAGTCTAAGACTGAAGGTATTGGTATTCTAGGCCAGATAGTGACAGCACTAAAACAGGTAGACACCAGTATTCCAGTCAAAAGAGTCCAAACTACAGCATCTCAATTTGCAGTTTAGAATTATATTATGGATTTCTTATCTGGATTTAGTGATGAATGAAAAATTCTCTTAATGTTTGAAAAATATGGAATTCAATGTAAGTTTGGACTGATCTATGTCTAAATTTGTTTAGCATTATATTAGTCAAATGTTGGCAGAAGGGCACCAGTGACGTCACAAGTACATTAGCCGTGTTATTGCCCACAGAATTGCATATTCAGAACACAGTTATCAGGTGGCTAATTTCGTAGGTCAGTCAAGTAGGTGTCAGGGAGGGGCATTGTCTCGTGAATTACAGCTGCTGTGGCATCATATTATCTAAAAATATGAAATTGTAGCCCATGTCCTTTAAGGTTGATTTAAGAATAAGCATCTATACAGCACTAGAAGCAGCATCCTTCCTAATTGGGAGTAGACGGTAACTTTTTATTTTCCTGAAAGGCAAGTGCATCATCAGAATTTTGCCTCTGGTAGTACACCTTAAATGAAAACCTCCTTAATTGAACAAAGGGAGTTAACTCTTATATAAAAAGGAGAGTATATTGGGTAAGACACAATCCAAAACTGAAGTCAGCTGCACACTTCACTCTGAAATTTATGAGTCTGGACAATGGTTCTGTCGGTCACATAGGGAACAGTAAATCCAGTGCACACCTTGATTTCACTGCCAGATGGGACACCATTGAAATCTTTTTCACATTTGACAGCAACACAAAGTCATGAAGGTGGGACATAGGCATAAAATTTCCAGCAGTTGTGTCATGTAGATTCTTTTTCAAAGGTGAATAGCAACTTTCCTATGGTGCTTGTATATGGTTTATAAAGATCAAATGATAGTGGGCACCAAGATCTCCTTGGGATCACATGAAAAACTATTACTAAGGGCAAGGGTGAAGGTCTTTTACAAAAGTAATGAAAGCTTGTGCCCAATGCCATAATTGTTTTTACAGTATCAAAATTAATACATATGCTTAAAAGATATTTTAAGGCAGTACATACACTTGTTTTTGCCATGTAAGGCATCAATGCAGTCATAGATGTATTCATCCTTTGCAGATTTTGACCCACAGATGCAGTGGCTTGTGCCCAAATCCTTATATCTTTTTACAGCATTGAAATAAACTTTTAAATTTTTTTGATATGAAATACATTTGTTGTCAGCCTTGTTAGGCATTGAATAGATTTTGTGTAAGTTTTGTAATAAATTACTCTCAGATTGGTCAGTCACAGATTCTACCCTTCTTGTTTATGATCCTAATTTTACCATTTTTTCCTCTTTACTTCAGATACCTTTGCAAGTAAGGTTGCAGCTATCAATGATGAGTATGCTGACTCGTCCATCGGTAATGTGACAGGAAGTAACGCTGTCAATGTGTTCCTTGGCATCGGTCTAGCTTGGTCCATGGCTGCCATCTATCACACATCGAATGGCAACACTTTCAATGTGGTACCGGGAACACTGGCCATGTCTGTAACAGTCTTCTGTATTGAAGCCATCATCACTGTGGTCATTATTTTGGTCCGTCGTAAGTTTGGAGGAGAACTTGGAGGACCTGTCCGTGAGAAATACTTAACCTCCCTGTTCCTGTTTGGATTGTGGCTACTCTACATTGTTATTTCTTCCTTGGTCAGTTATTGTTATATTCCTGGATTTTAAATGCACGTTTCTAAACATGACACTACAAACCAACCAATCTTTAAGCTTGAGTAGGTACCATTCCACAGGACCCTGCATGGGAATGGTCTACCATTGATGCCCTTGATGCATCAGAGATATGCAGATTTTCAGCCCAGTTTGCTGAATGAAGGGAGCCTCATGCCAATATGAGGGAGTCGACAATGGTCTGTAAGAGTAGTGTGGTGTAAGGAACCCACAGCTGGATCACAATATGGAGCTATATCACAGACATAGTAACAAGGTGGAGATACACCCTGCCTGGTACAACTGATGTGGTGTATCTTGAATCTCCGATGGAATGAGTGGTTTAGAACAAGTGTGTCTACGTGTTGAAGTGTTTATAAGAATGGTATGTAGCAGTATTAACTCATTTTAATATCATACATTTAACTAGGATAATTAAGAAGTCTTTCTTCTCTGATAATTGAAAAGTAATATTTGCCAATAGGTTTATAGTCTTAAATAGAATGCAACTGCAGTTTATTATATGGTTACAGATAATGAATTGCTACCAAAGCAGGCGATACTACACTAGCAATAATAACAAATTTCTGTAGGTTTAATTTGCTGTTTGAAGACAGTAAATTCAAGTAAAAAATCAGGTGTTTTTAGATTCGCTTTTCTAGAGTTTCTTTAAGATGTCCTAATCGTGTATACCAGTAGATATATTTGATTTCTAGTTAACACTGAGTGGCTTGTCTCATCAATAACAGAAGATGGCTCTGTCTCTGGTAATGTTGATAGTGATCGATTTGCTCAGAATCCTAACAAAATGATATTTCCATCCAGTGTTTGTTGAGAGGTGAATGCAAGTTTTTTTTCTGTTTTTATTATTTCTTTAGAAATATTTTTTACATGAATTGAAGCAAAGCTTCATAAAGCAAGATTATCATTGAAAGAAGGATTAACATGACTTTATTAGGTATAAATATATAATGATTGTAGGTTATCAAATGCATCTGTTAAAGGGTTGAATGATTAGAGAAGACTTATAAAATTAAAAGTAATGAATTTTTGTGGCAAGTGTGAACACAAATGATAATTATTTGTATTATTTATTTTCCTGTAATGTGACCCACTTACCTGTTAACTTACATATCTATAACTCCTCTGATCAATACACATCAGTGACGTTCTAATCATTATAAAAAAGACAATTTACAGTTGCTTTTATAAACGCAAATGTTCTTAGATAATATGTTTAAAATTATGTAACGGAGAGGTTAAGATATGAATACTTACTAATGGTTAATTAGAAAAATCTTATCATTATATATCTGATTATTTTGAAGATAGCATTTCAAACAAATAACAAATCAAACATTCATTGTTATTTCAGTGTTATTATAATCAAAGTCAAGTTTCAATACATCAGCTCTTCATATTTAGGTCATTTTTATCCCTTATTCGATAGCATTTTATGTTTCACCATAACATTACTAGATTTTCAATGTGTGTTTTTATGAGGTGATAACAGAGGTCATATTTTAAATTGTTGATTCTAATGAGGAAACAAAGTCAGCAAGTTTTTTTTGTCTCAGGAGCCAGTGCAAATCTAGTGTTGATGTATATAAACTGTTTTTTTGTATATAGTTTTATCTCCCTGTTCCATTTTGCACTAGTGTGACTAGTTTGTTCAAACTGTCACTCTTGGTGATTTGTGATAACTCATTGCTCCAGAAACCTGTCATAGCTTATAGTGTACAAGGAATGTTTATAGAGTTGATGATAAAACAATTTATTTGTAGTAAAAACAGAAAAATTCATGAAAAAAATATGAGATAATGTCCATGTATACAAAGAATGTCCGTGATTTTAGCAAAAGAAGTTGTTAGTTGCACTAGGGACAACCCTTTTGCATATGACAGCAATCTAGATCATATTTTAACATGTTTTTCTTTTTTTATATTCTGGTGAAGAAAAATGTTATTGTTCACGACATGAAAATTGCAAATGAAACTGAAAATTTATTTATACAATGTTTGTTGATAATTCTGAATGTGTTAGTGTCTTATTTATTGCGTGTGGGATTAATACCGTAGTTCTCGTAGAGTTACAGCACACAGTTGTTTATTTATTGTGTCAGGACGTTAATAGTGTCATAAACAAGTAGTCATTATGACTATAATTATTAATACAATGTAAGTTTTACTTTGCAGAAATTGCAATATGGCATTGTTATCCAGAGCTTTAAATTGTTTATATTATCATACTCCTGTTAAAAATTGTCAGTAATTTGTATGGAGGTCCACACTCATGTGTTAGTTCTTTCAACTATTTATCAGTTAAAATGTTATTATTATCAATATAACAAACAAACTAAATGAATATGCTGTAAAATATTTCTCAATTTCAACTTTATCCCTATAAAAAATTTTATTAAATGTAGATTCAGATTGAAGCTTTTTACTGATTAGCAATTATAAAAAAATATATATATACATGTATAGTTGTCGCTCTGCCTAAACTTTCTAGAATAACTTAAATTATCTGGTAATCACCAGGTTAATCTTTTTTTTATGTAGACAAGGGTGAAATTACAAGTTACAGCTTTACGTATTCTGTCCTGTGGAATTATATACATATATATACTTTATTTCAAGACACATTGTATTTAATGTTAAAATGAATTCAAACAGTTCTGTCCAATATTTGTTTGGAATTCCAGTTTTATAGACACTGTACATATTAAATCAACTACAACATGCAAATTTATTAAATATGACAATTTTAGGACTTTGATATATCTCAGTACTATATAGAATAGTGAGCTTTTTTTAAAGTTACATCTTTGGGCATGACAATGTTTGGTCAGTAGGGGACCTATCTTGACTTTTTATCATGAATCCAGAAACTGTGTATACCCAACCTTATTAACCAATGGTTGTTACATTCCTTCTCCATCAAACATCTATGTATATAATGTCTTCCTTAAACCATCAAACATTTATGTATATAAAGTCCATATGATTTGCTCCTTTGTATCAATTGTGATGACTTATTATAATTGTGCTCCTTTTCCTTTGTTAGTGATTTGAAAAAGATATTGTCCATAATTTTAATCATTTTACACAGTACATGTTGAGAAGATTAAGGTAGGCCTCTTAGCGGTCCTTTAGCTATGCAGATTATAATTGTTTAAAGAGATTACTGTAAATACTCTATCTAGAATTCTATTTGTGTTAGTGATCAGATTGATTCTACATGTTTCTAGATACATTAGACATGTATTTCAGAGTCCAGTAGTTGCATTCCCATCTGTGTTTTATCAATTCTATTGAGGATCTACCCAGAGTAGGAATAACTATGCTGGCTTATACAGCTCCTTAATCTGCAGTGTTCAAAGATTCATCCAATTACACACGAGTTGGTAAAGTCTTGGTGTACTTTATTAGGTTTTACCAATTCTAGTCACAGTGTAGAATGTATTCGGTTTTACTAGTACTTTCAGTGTACTTTGTTTTACTAGTACACATTTTTATTGTACTTAGTTTTACCAGCAATTGTCCTTAATCTCAGCAGATTTTGCATGTCATGTGACAAGTTTTCTAATAGTGTTATAATTAACAGTAAAGTTTACTGTGTTAGTTTGACCAGTAGCGGTTGGGAAGACCACACCACCTTGACTGCTGAACATGTGACACTATACAGGGTGAGGAGTGGCCGAACTATACTCGAGTGCTAGTGATCTGTATTACCTGGCACCATCTAAGAAATCCAATTGTTATAGCTGCACTGGCAGACATGGAAAAGACAATCCCTTACACAATTTGGGCTTTGATCACCTTAGTGAAGAAAATTCTATTGTTTAATTGATTTGAGCAGTATCATTTAGATGTTGTATTTCTTCAGATATATTTCATATTAGGTGAAATATTTGCTATGTTCAACTACAGTGGAAAATAGATATCTGGTAATGAGGAGGAGTTGGTCAAAGATCTTTAGCTATTTGCTCATGGAAAGTGTGTGCTAATATTTTGAATCGGAATAAAAAATGACATGTAAATGATACTGCCAAATCAATTAAACTGGAAAATATAGCACAGGACAGTTATTGACTCATGATGTGTCAAAATGGGACCATGCCTTTATTTTGGTAAGTCCATCTTTTCATGAGCAAATAAGCTCATTCAGGAACAAATATATACTTATGTAATGAGCAAGAAAAACAAATAGGGATATGTAAACTTGGCCAACAATGTTTATAAACCCCAGAAAATCTGCTAATGAATATTTTCTATACTGCTAATTTTTCGGCTTTCGCTGGTGCAATTGCTATGATATTAATACATGCTATAATTTCCAGATGTTCTGTTACCTCATTGAAGCTTTCTCACTTTTATGTTTAGCATGGTTTGGACTATTTTTGAACACGACACTATAGAGAGTAACATTAAACCTTTTGGTATTCCCATTCCACAACTGTTTATTTTCCACGTTAGATATTGTGGTGTTTCTTATGACTTGATTGTGGAAATTGATTTGAATTTGGTTGTCATTTCAATAAAGGGTTGAAGAAAAATATATGTGTCTTTGTCTTTATTCAGTTAATGTAGAAATCTTTTTAATTTATAGAATCTGGCCGATTTAACTGAATTATGACTTGTATCTCCAAGTTTATATGTATATGCATGCACATGTCCAGATTCAAATTCATAGATCTAACTATAGGTTCATGTTCAAAGATACAGCTCAAGTTTCAAATCCATTGAATTCAACACAATGTTCCAAATCACAGATTTATCGGAAGACTGGGAATCACAGATCAGGGATGTCCTGGTTGGAGAATAATATAAAAACAGCTTCTGGTCAGCTTGGCAAGACAAGAACATGAACTTTAACATTCTTAACAAAATAAATCAGGAAGCATCTTGATCTGTTACACCAAGTAATAAATAGTACTAACAACAAACACACTAAACACTGGACTAGTATAACATTAATGCTAGAATGGCTTTCTGCTGGTTCTTTCCCTAACACAGATGATTGCAAGGGTGGTCCAGTTCTGCTTTCATAATTACAGAAATCTTCATTATGGCAAACAAAAATATCGATGATGTTAGACAATGACATGAAAATAATAAACAATAGTATGACACATAGGTAGTGAGCTAGGTACACAACAATGGTACATCACGTAGGTAGTGAGCTAGGTACAAAACAATGGGACATCACGTAGGTAGTGAGCTAGGTATACAACAATGTTACATCACGTAGGTAGTGAGCTAGGTACGAAACAATGGTACATCACGTAGGTAGTGAGCTAGGTATACGGCAATGTTACATCACGTAGGTAGTGAGCTAAGTACGAAACAATGGTACATCACGTAGGTAGTGAGCTAGGTACGAAACAATGGTACATCACGTAGGTAGTGAGCTAGGTACGAAACAATGGTACATCACATAGGTAGTGAGTTAGGTACAAAACAATGTTACATCACGTAGGTAGTAAGCTAGGTATACAACAATGGTACATCACGTAGGTAGTGAGCTAGGTACAAAACAATGGTACATCACGTGGGTAGTGAGCTAGGTACACAACAATGGTAGGTCACGTAGGTAGTGAGTTAGGTACGAAACAATGGTAGATCACGTAGGTAGTGAGTTAGGTATACGTCAATGTTACATCACGTAGGTAGTGAGCTAAGTACGAAACAATGGTACATCACGTAGGTAGTGAGCTAGGTACGAAACAATGGTACATCACGTAGGTAGTGAGCTAGGTACGAAACAATGGTACATCACATAGGTAGTGAGTTAGGTTCAAAACAATGTTACATCACGTAGGTAGTAAGCTAGGTACACAACAATGGTGCATCACGTAGGTAGTGAGCTAGGTACAAAACAATGGTACATCACGTGGGTAGTGAGCTAGGTACACAACAATGGTAGGTCACGTAGGTAGTGAGTTAGGTACGAAACAATGGTAGATCACGTAGGTAGTGAGTTAGGTACGAAACAATGGTACATCACGTAGGTAGTGAGTTAGGTACGAAACAATGGTACATCACGTAGGTAGTGAGCTAGGTATACAACAATGTTACATCACGTAGGTAGTGAGCTAGGTATACAACAATGTTACATCACGTAAATAGTAAGCTAGGTACAAAACAATGGAACATCACGTAGGTAGTGAGCTAGGTATACAACAATGTTACATCACGTAGGTAGTGAGCTAGGTACGAAACAATGGTACATCACGTAGGTAGTGAGCTAAGTACGAAACAATGGTACATCACGTAGGTAGTGAGCTAGGTACAAAACAACGGTACATCACGTGAGTAGTGAGCTAGGTACACAACAATGGTAGATCACGTAGGTAGTGAGTTAGGTACGAAACAATGGTAGATCACGTAGGTAGTGAGTTAGGTACGGAACAATGGTACATCACGTAGGTAGTGAGTTAGGTACAAAACAATGGTACATCACGTAGGTAGTGAGCTAGGTATACAACAATGGTACATCACGTAGGTAGTGAGCTAGGTATACAACAATGGTACATCACGTAGGTATCGAGTTAGGTACAAAACAATGGTACATCACGTAGGTAGTGAGTTAGGTACAAAACAATGGTACATCACGTAGGTAGTGAGCTAGGTATACAACAATGGTACATCACGTAGGTAGTGAGCTAGGTAGAAAACAATGGTACATCACGTAGGTATCGAGTTAGGTACAAAACAATGGTACATCACGTAGGTAGTCAGTTAACTACAAAACAATGTTACATCACGTAAGCAGTGAGTTAGCTACAAAACATTGGTACATCACATAGGTACTGAGCTAGGTACACAACAATGGTACATTACGTAGGTAGTGAGTTAGCTACAAAACATTGGTACATCACATAGGTACTGAGCTAGGTACACAACAATGGTACATTACGTAGGTAGTGAACGAGGCACAAAACAATGGAATTATATAACGGACAACTTTCAAAAGTAAGATCATGGGAATAAAAACAAAATAAATAAATGAAAATTAAACTTAAAAGCTTTTAAAGAGGAAAGCTGATACACACATATATAGTGAAGCCAAAATAGTGAAGTGTAAAAAAAATACCTACCTGGCACTAAGGGATGTAAATGAAGGGCACTGCCGCACCTGCTAATTGGATTGTGTGGAATCTATGTATTACACCTTAGTGGTCCGATCAGTATTAGGTCTGATCATTACCATTTCTACCATCATGGTTTGTGCTATATATGGTAGTAGACATCCATAACATTTAGTTTTAATTAGTTCACATACATCATCCTAGATACAGCTTCCACATCTTTCACCGTGTGTAAGTCACATAAATTACTAAAGATTGTGTTTTTAAGTGTTGAAGTTTTACCGACCCAAGTCTCAATTGCGTTAAATGGCGCTATTCATCGATAGCAGGTGGTAGAAGCTGATGGACTAATAGTCTCCAAGGTTAGCTGTAACATGCATGCCAAGTTTTAATTCATTTGAATTATGTCATGGTTCAGATTATACACACGAACGTTCTTCTAAAATTATCAGATATATGAAAAGTTCGAAATTTACTGAATTATGGGGCTAGTGCACATCCCCCGTCTAAATTTGACATTTCTATCGATACTTTCTCTCTGGAATTTACTCGGTCGTCTTACAGGGAGACATTTAGGATTTTAGTAGATATTTAGGATTTTAGAAGACACTAAGAATTTTAGCAGACATTTAGGATTTTAGAAGACATTTAGGATTTTAGAAGACATTTAGGATTTTAGAAGACACTAAGAATTTTAGCAGACATTTAGGATTTTAGAAGACATTTAGGATTTTAGAAGACATTTAGGATTTTAGAAGACATTTAGGAATTAAGCAGACATTTATCCTTTGAGCATCACTGACGAGTCCTAAGAGGACGAAACAGCTGTATGGTACAGTTTACTTCATTATTTGGTTCTACTGTATCTTATCTAAATTTGTATTAAATGTGCTGTTCATTTGTGTGTCTCCAATTCATCTTTGTGAATATCCAATGACATCATGGTCATCCAACGAAGCATTAACACTAAACTTTACTTAGAATTATAGAATTAGATCATTGAAAATTAGAACTAAAACAATTAAAGGATGATATAAATGCAGTTAAAATTGTCATTGAAGAGAGGTTCTATTCGTTGTTATTTTTAAAAACCCTTAAATGAAAATAAAGATCACAAAAGTCAATTTCAAAACACTGAAGGAAAAACCCCTCCTGCACTCAGCCTTCGACGAAACTGCAAACAATTAAAGCATCAATAAATAGTGCATTGAAAATCTGTATAATGTACATTTACCTGGGATAGATACAGTGTAGTTATATCAATTAGGTCATTTATTTTTATAAAATATCATTTGTTAAATTTGAAATCAAGACTCTGATTTATGATCAAGATTAAATTGGATATATTTGCATCTCATGCCCATCATTTGCTGTTGTACCTCTGATGAAGAAAACACCTACGTAACATTCAACACTACAACTTGGTCCATTTGCCATGAATTTAAGGATGCACTCCTCTGAGAGTCAAACAATTCAAGTATCAAACTTTTTTGACGATGTTTTTTTAACGGTTTGATTTTAGAAATTAGATTAAATACAAAAAAATACTAAATTGTTGCACTAGTCGGTTTCAGACTAACATTACATAGCAGTTCAGTTAAGGAATGTTTTTTGTAATATGGCGAACATACCAGCCGTAAAAGGAAACAGACCGAAACATTCTGTCTCTATTACGGTGTTTTAATGTCAATATTCACATTTGTTATGCTGTTATTGATATTTACATTTTTATTTACTATGCTTATTTTAGAGACAGAAATTTTCGGTCACGTGTTAATGAATACATTCTGATTGGGACAAGTACCACGTCAAACTCCAAAATACTCGAACTTTGTATAACACTATTTGTATGGTGCTGTTATGGTTACAAATAATTGTGAGCCTTTCACATAGTTGAGCATACTGTAGAATTTGGCATCGCGGCAGGACTTGATGTGATATTTCATATCGAAATATTTAGGCAGTTTAGGGTTTGTTTTTGTTGTCGGGTTGACACTCCAATAATATCCGCTTTTAAGCGATAAATTATCGACGCATATTGCCCTATAATATTCACAAAAACGAAGGAAAACAATTCTTGTTTATGTTACAGAATGGTAAAAATTGGACAAAATATCGGCGATCCCGAAGTTAGATATCGGCATTGACAGTAAAAAATCACACTTGAAAAGTACTAATGTACCGCTTTTCCGAAGTTCCAAAGTTTTCATATTTTGATCTTTTTGATCGTGTAAAGTGAGCACCTATCTTATGTGGCTGTCTACGTCCGTCATCTTCACAAGACCATTGCCTACCGTGTACACGAGACACATGGTGCGGAAATTAGTTGACAGCATGGTCAATATTGTACACAATGGATAACTTCACTTTATGTCAGCAGCAGATTCCACTACCAGCCATATTATGTATGGTTTGTAAGAAAACTGACACTGAAAATGTCGAAATGTTGATCATCAGCCATTCAGGC